TCCATTGGAGTGGAAGCCGGATGACAATCATCAAATCGATCCGCATCAAGCAGATCGGTGATATACTTTTTCTGGCTGAGCAAGACCCCAGAGCTAGTACGATGCACCTCAAGACCCAAATAATACGAGAGAGAACCAAGCTCCTTCAGATGAAATGACTGGTGAAGGCCTTGAGTCAAGGCACGAATGCCTTCAGCATCATCTCCTGACACAATCATGTCGTCAACGTAAAGTAATAACAAAACCAGACCCCGAGCAGTGCAACGCAAGAAGAGGGAGGAGTTATTAAGACTCTGCGTGAAACCAAGACCCAGTATCGTGGCCTGGAACTTATCAAACCATGCACGGGGAGCCTGCTTCAACCCATAAAGTGAACGACGAAGAAGACAAACCTGATCAGACGTGCCAAGAGAATACCCCGGAGGCCGCTCCATGTACACAGTCTCTTTCAAATCACCGTGAAGAAAGGCATTCTTCACATCAAGCTGATACAATGGTCAACCCCGCAAAGACGCTACAGCAAGAAGACAACGAACAGTCACCATCTTGGCGACAGGAGCAAATGTCTCATCAAAATCAATCCTATACTCCTGACTGTAGCCCTGAGCTACCACCCGAGCCTTGAAGCGCTCAATGGAACCATCAGAAAGCTCTTTGATATCATAAACCCATTTACTTCCAATCACATGTACCTCAGGAGGAGGTCTAGGCACAAGATCCCACGTATGGTTCGCATGGAGAGCATCAAACTCCTCAGTCATAGCATTTTCCCACACAGGATTGCCAGCAGCCTGTGAGTACCGTGTCGGCACCCGGAAAGACCCGACCTGAAAAGAAACAAAATCTCAGTGACCGGCAGGTGGCTGGCCAAGAGTGTAGCGAGTAGACCTGCGCAGCTGTGGAGCGGGAGGTGGTGAAGGCGGGGAAGGAGGTGAGGACGTGTCAATCTCTGAGTCAGAACTGGACGCAGCCGAGGCAGAGGGTGAGGTGGGGCCGGGAGACTCGGCGGTGTCGTGGGGCAGCGGGCTGTCTGGCGGCTCGGGAACATCATCAAGAACCTCATCATCAACATCATGAAACGACGGGAGACTCAAGGACATACCGAACAACGGAGGTGACTCAGTGGCAGGGGTGTAAAACATAAGGTTTTCAAAGAACACAACATTACAGGAAATACGAAGACGACAAAGACTCGGATCATAACATAGGTAACCCTTATGGATGTCACTGTACCCTAGAAAGGCACACCTAACGGTTTTAGAAGTGAGTTTAGTACGTTCAAATCGAGGAAGAAGAACAAAACAAAGACATCCAAAAACTCGAAGACGGGAGTAAGGAGGATGAGTACCGAACAACTTATAAAATGGACTAACCTGACCAAGAACAGAAGTGATCTGATAATTAATCAAACGAACAACTGTAGCTACAGTCTCAGGCCAGAAAGAGGAGGGAACGTGAGAAGACAAAAGGAGAGCTCTAGTGACTTCTAACACGTGTCGATTTTTACGCTCAACCAGACCATTTTGCTGTGATACACCTGGACACGACTTCTGAGTAAGAATACCCAAAGACTTATAGAGATCAAGAAGCGGGTTGGAACTAAATTCACCCCCAGGATCAGAACGAACTACACGGACTGTCTTACCGAATTGAGTCTGGATCATTTTCAAAAATTCGGTGGCTACAGATAAAAGGTCAGACTTAATGAGGATGACTGCGGCAGCTGAAACTCATCAAGGTGAAAGATGCGACCCGTCTTACTGCCCCTACCGATCTCCCGACCCGTCTTCAGGTCCTGCACAAAACAGCCAGAAGGTGCAAAAGTAACACGGCAACCCTGCTCAGTAAGTTGCCAAACAGAGACCAAATTCGGAACAAGTTTCGGAACAAGCAACGTATTAGGAAGATGTATATCAGAAGTCACCACTGAACCTATGCCAGAGATAGGTAAACGAGCCCCATTCGCAACTTGCAAAGAACAATCCTTAAGTGGCCGGTAATTATTAAGAACAGATTCACGGTTGGTCATATGATTGAAACATGCTGAGTCTAAAATCCAGGAGGGGAATTTAGAGAGCTTACCCGACGCCTGCAAGCTTGCAAAAGCGGAGCTTATGGCCTTATTTACCAGTTGTTCGAGAGAACTAGGAGTCACCACTATGTTGTCCGTCCCGGGGGCAGGTTGAGCTGCATAAGCTGGCCGCGAAGATGACCCTGTAGAAGACTCGCCGGAAGAATTGTTGCCGTTGACATATGCCATTCGCTGCTGGAGCAACTTACAATCAGGTATGATATGGCCTGATTTCTTGCAATAGACGCAGAAATTGCGGCGACGGCAATACTTCTGGGTATGCCCCTTTTCATGACAGTGATGACATTCGATCTCCCTCCTAGCAGTGGCTGGCGGACGATAGGCAGCAAATGCAGCCTCATCCGTGTCTACCTTGCGACTCTCAGGAGGGGATATGGGCCGGGTCCGAGAACGTGGAGGATGATCAGAGGCACTACCCTTCCCTTTAGCAACATAGAAGGCCGCTGCATCTCCAAGACCTGGGCGAGCGTCGATGGAGGCTTGAGTGCGGAGCCTCGTCTCCTCGCGAATTAAAGCTCCAAGGACCTGTTCGACCTTCACATCACCACGGTTCAGCAGGGTAGAGCGCACCGACTCGAACTCCGGCCGCAGCTTGGCCATGAATTGCAGCAGCCGAGTTTGACTTCTCTCGGCTTGAGCATCAGCGGAGACCTGGCCGGGAAACAGAGAGGCGGAAAGGAGATCCTGCTCGGTGGACTAGATTCAAATTGACAAACTATTTAACACATCAACTTATTTGTTAATTACACTTAGTTTATATGAAATTTCAAAGTACTCGAAAATTTTACACGTAACTTCCGAGATTCTCGAGGGGATCGGGGCCCCCTTAGGCTAGCTGTAGCTCCGCCCCTGCTCGGTATCCCAATCGGTATTATCGAATACATAATTAATTACCTTTGTAATTAATAATTAAATATATAATTATATTTTATTGTTTAATTTAGGGCAATGAGACTAAGCAAATAGTCTTGAGTTTCCTAGAGCTAACATCTCAAGTTCTTCTAATTGGTAATCTTTAATTTGACGAATTTGAGGTTGAGAGACGACTAATACTAGTGTGAAATAGTTATGTAATGATCTATGTATAATTAAATGACACTTTTGGTGGTTGATGGTCGCGTAGTAGTAATGAGAGAGTCTAGTTGAGAGGATAAAATACACACTAGCTTATATTTCGGTATTGATCGGTATTTGGTATATACTGATCCCAATGTCGTAATCCGTAATGCCGAATGACAATTGAAATTCAATCACAATCCCAATCCTACAAAATAATACGTGTATTCGGTAATATCAAATATAGACAAATTCGGTACGGTATTCGGTATATCCCAAATATCGGTACCAAACTTCGACGCCACCGAGGACATGTCGGCGTTGTCCAAGCTAGCTCGCTGACTCACTCCTACTGTCACTCTAGGAATTGGCCAAGTGTAACCACTTCCTAAAGCGTAGTATAGCGGGTTTGGGTTTTAATGTCAACCCGGGTCCTAGATTTGATGACTACTCGGTGAATTCTTGTTATCTAGCAATGAAACTTTAATGCAGGTCTAAACTAACAAACAAGCAAAGCAACTAAACGGTTTTTTTCAGGTTAAGAGAGGTCACCCAGATATGCTTCCCCCTAGACTGCAGTTAAGCCGGATTGCAATTACCAAGTTCAGCTTCTATGATAGTTATACTGCGGAAGGTTCTTAAGCAGTCTGAAGTCTCGACTAAAGGTCTCCAGACCCTCTCAATCTGAGTCTCTAGCGGGCGACTAACCTCCACCGGAGTAAACAGATTGAGGCCCTAACGAACAAAACCTCCACTACCGAAGTGAATTCGGTACAGAATAGTGAATTGGCTCCTCGACTAAAGTCACCAATTCACTCCCTTCAATTAAGGGTGCTCTATCAATCTAGGCAGATATTCTCATTCTAGGTTAAAGCATAAACAACAGGAATTTGATCAGGATTCATGCCATTCAATCATTCAAACCTCAATTGAATATAATCAAATCATAGAATCAGTACTTGGGTTCATACAATCAAACCTAACATACAAATCTAGGGTTCTCCATACCCAGATGAATGGGAGAACTACTCCATGGAGAAAGAAGCAAAAGCAGAATCAGACGGGGAATTCATACTGTGAAGGATGGATTCCTGCTCCTGGACGTTGATCGGCACTTCTCCAAGCTCAAGCCAAGCTCCAATGGTGGTGAAGATCAAGCTAGGGCACTTGGGAACTCTTGTTCGTCGCTTTCTCTCTCTAGGAATCGCTCTGTCTCTCTAAAACTCGAATCCCCTTCTGTTTTGGCTGAAATCTGCTTAAAAGGGCATCACTAGGCAAAACACGGTCGAGGGCACGGCCGTGTTCTGCTCCAGCCCGCCCGTGCCCTTGCCAAGTGTTAAATACACGGCCAGCCTTTTGGGGAAAACACGGGCGTGCTTTTGGTGGGCACGACCGTGTTCTGTCTCCGTCCTGCCCGTGTTTTGAGCTCGTGTTTTCCAAACTCAGATCAAGTCTCGGCAGTAAAAGCACGGTCTAGGAACACGGCCGTGTTCTGATTTAGGCGTGCCCGTGTTTTGGCTCCAGCTCAACCGAATGACTTCCGAATGTCCCGTAACTCGTGCTTAGCCTTTCCTTTGACGCCTGAAACCTGAAATATGACAAAGTAGCACAACCCGGCGTAAAATAGGCCAAAAATACACGACTATGCCCCTCAAACGGATTAGAACTAGGGGTGCAAATACGTGCAATTACATCGTTATCACTCGCCGTCGTCTCCATCATCTCCGGTTGTTTCTTCTACCCTAGGATCGCCCCGCCACCTACTCGTTCGGCAACAAGGTCGACAGATCTGGGACAGGGAGATCGTTAATCAATCCCCCTTCCCTTTGGTCTGGCAACTCACGCTCGCCGGATGCATGTGTGTCGCACCGCCGCCGCCGCCACTAGCGCTCCTCGTTTCGCCTCCGCAGAAGAGGTACCATCAGCGGCTTCTGATATTGTGGACGGGATCTCGAAGGAGCAGCACCAGAAGCGAACGGCCAAAAAGAACGATAGGGGAGATGGAGTGAGGGTAGCTGAAGATGGGAATGGTGGTGAGATTGGTTGCGATGATTGTTAGGGATTCCGATGTAGTGGGGGGTTGAATTGGTTGGGGAGGGTGTTAGGGTGGAGAATGGCGAGTGGATTTGGGGTTTTTTTTTGTTTTTAATTTGAATTTTTTAATCTAAATAAATGATGTGGCAGCCACCTTGGATCCAACTCAGCATTTTGATGCTGAGTAACCGACGGAAAAATAGTTGACCGTCAGTTTCACAGTCAACATAAGTTTCAGGCCAAATTTGTCCAATAATTTGTAAAGTAGGCCATAAATGTCTTATTAGAAAAATCGGGCCAAAACTGACTTTTACGCTAAATTTCATGCCAAACTAGGGTATTAATCCTAAGTAATAACACACAACAAAATACATAACTTCAAATAACATGAATTTCACCTTGACCTAAATTCAATCACTTACAAAATTTGTAAATTCGTTTGCAAATAAATATGTAAAAAATATTTCTTTATCATTGTGTTCGTAGACAAATTAATGATGTAATAACCAAAATGAGAGGTCGATCACCAACAATTGCGAGAATGACATTTATTGGCCAGCCCCACATAGAAACTTTAAGAACTAATCCCTTATATTCAAATTGTATATTAGTTCTGGAATAAAATTTTAAATAAGACATGAAATTTTATGATGCAAGTCTATATTCGAAAATTTTTAATTGAATCTCTTTCCATTTTTTTCTTATATAAAAGAGCATATCTCCTTCTTGTTTATTTTGTCAAGATCGATTCTATTTAATTTGTACTTGTGAATGAACTCCAATGGGCCCAAATTATGAACTTGAACAAAAAAGCAAGCTCACACCGTAAACCAAAACAACAAAGTCAAATTCACCTGTTATGTCTACAAACTCGAGGCTGGATCTTGAATGTCAGAATTTGTATAATGGAAGCAATGAAGATTGACTATATAGTTTTAAGATTGATGCTTTGGTAGTTAAGATTAGGATGACAATTTTACATATACACATGGGTATTCCAATTAAATTGGGTTGGTTTTGAAATCCAAATATATAGATAGTATATGAGTAGAGTTTGATAGGTTTGTATCCATATCCATTTATTTGGGTTGGGTTAGGTTTTTTATTCATGGATTTGGATTTTACCCATAATCATATGAAAATTACAGTTTGATACCTGAACTTATTAGATCCTTAGATTTAGTACATAAAATTATTTTTTTCAAATAAGTCCTCAAAATGTCGACGGAAAATTACATTTTAGTACTAAATTTTGTTGGTCTTACATTTTGGTACCTAAACTTTTTAAAACAAATAGGTCCAATTTTTCTATGTGTAGTTAAAACACTCTCAACCAAATGGGTATCCATATTCAACCCATACCCATTTGGAATTTTGGATTCTGGAAGCAAGATCCAAATCCTACCCAAACCCATCTACAACCTCCCAAACTCATATAAACTTCACCAATATGCTAACACATAATCAATGGGTCTACTTGGATTCGGGTAAAATTACTCTTGGGTGGGTAATTGACATCCCTAGTTAAGATGCTTTTTGTACCGAATGTATGGTTCTTACATAGTTAGGAAACAATGTTTTTTTTGACGAAATAGGAAAGTGATATAGAGTTTGAACCGAAGTTCTGGAAGAAAGAAGTCTGGCCTAAGTGAAAAAGTTAAACAAAAAAAGATTACATGACACCCACCCAATCAACACAAACAAGCCCACGTACAGAAACAACAACAACAAAAAAGAAAATGAAACAACCACAAAATCCCAAACACAAACCACCCTAGCCCACAATGTAAGCCCAACAGCCAACCAAACCAACACACAAACAAAAACCCTAGCCATCAGCAACAACAAGACGTCAACCACCCCAAGTGGCTTCAATACCGTCGTCGTCCACCAAACCCAGAAGCTGCATCCGACCACCAGAAACAAAAACGCCGTCGACATCGAAGCCACCACCACCAAACAAGAAAATCCCACAACATCGCCTCAGCCAACCCACACCATCACAAACAAAATTGAAAACATCCCACCACCACCAAAGCCCAAGGAGAACAGAATGAACCACACAACCAGTTGCCGCCGCCAAGACCACAACACCACCACCATCCAAAGACAACCCAGGGAACCAAGATCACCAGAAACACACTTCTTCCTTACATCCAAGCCAAATGACAGTAGAACCGCAGGCAATAAGCCAAATCCACCGAATCACGGTGACATTTTGAGTGAAGCAAGGAGGAAAGCTCTAAAAGTCAAGAAGAAGGATGTAGATTGCCAAAGCAATCCCCTCTAAACACCGAAACCGACTTCAAGATCTGAGCATAGATCTGAAGTGTGGAAGAGTAACCATCTCTGAAGAGAGGTTAATGGAAAACTCCACAAGGGAAAGCAAAAAAGCTGGAACTAGAAAAATCCACAGAGGGATTGTCAAAAGAAGGAGCAGAAGGAAAATGACGAGAAAGAAAAGGGGGTGGGTTGCCGCCGGTCACCCATAGGTGAAGCCGGCAACTCCCCAGGTGGAAAACTGTAGAGAGAATTGAGAGCGTTCGAAAATTGACAAATTAGAGGGAGAATGTGCAAGCTCTAATTAGTTCAAGAGCCAGTTAGGAAACAATGTTGAAGTAAAGTTTTTTTTTTTTTTTTAGTTATCTTGCTATTGTTGCATTTAATGTCATTGTAAAACCTCACATTGTTGCCTTTGAAAAATACTCGTCCAAGTCTTGTTCAAATTTTTGTAGATAGGTTTCTTGTCTAGCATAGTACCCCACATTTTTTATTTTGACAACCTTATATTTGAGAGAAACATATTTCCTGTGTATTACATAAATTGTTAGCATTTGATGGTTAATGAATGGTTAAATCAAAATTCATATTTACCTCTTCCGAATCCTATGAATTCATTGAACTCTTGAGCTCTTGTAGTGTTTTTGGTTGGGATTAGTTATGGGATTTTGTCTTTGATTTTACTAAGGAGGTGGTGCATCTCTGTTACTGTTATCACAATAAACAATGGTTATTAATCCTATGTATTTTGTCAAACTGTAAACGTATAAGGGACAATCAAAGATATGGATTGAGTTTACCATGGACTATCATTTTAAAACGAAGAATAGTATTTATTTTGGGATTGATTGCCAGCCACTTCATGGAAACAAAACACTTCAATTTTCTTTCATAATGGATATCATTCGAGCTCATAAAACTCGACTGAGGTAAAACTCGACTCGTCTCATTTACAGCCCTAATTCTAAATGACCCAAATTCTCAATTTTATTATAAAGTTCTCGTTTATTAACGAGCGGAGTCGAGTCGAGCTCGAGCTAGCTTGTTTACAAAAATCTTAACTTTTATTTGGTACTTCATTTTGCCTATCATGATACATATAATTTATTTTGTTAGCTAATCTCATATTATACTTCGTTGGTATCATATATCATTTAGTTAATAAATTTTAAGTACTCCAAATCATGTTATTTCATAGTATCGAAGCAATCTATGATACATAATTTCTTTTAAAAATAGAAAATAAGATATATTTGCTCACATACTCAACGTGTTAAACTTTATATATGGTGAGATATATAATTTAACAACCATATGAATTAAATCATAAGATATAGATAGATTCATCCATAAGTCGGTAATCGAATTGGCTCTCTAGCCACATGTTGAGACATATCATGAGCTCTAAACGAGCCAGCTCACGAGTTTAGCTCAACAAGTCACCGAGTCAAGCTAGCTTGCGAGCTTCACGAGCTGAAGAAAGCTTAGCTCATGTTCGGCTCGTTTATTAACGAGCCGAGTTTCGAACGAGTTTTTCTCGAGTCGAACACCTAGCCGCTCGCGAACAGATTGGCTCATTTGCAGCCTTATTTGGAATGCATATTGTGTATATGTGGTATTTGTGGCCAATTGCTACTTTTCACAATACCATAGCATGTGACATGTGATATTTCATCAATTACGATGTTTGGATAAGCTTAGATAGTTTGATATTAAGGTTTTACTGTTCTCACTCAAAATGGTTAAATACTCATTTACTCTTCCCTTATTAAAGAAATAAAAATCAATTTCTTCTTTTTTTAACTCTGTTAGAACCATGGTCAATGAAACCGTACCGGATATCGTACTAGAAAAGTAATCGGTATGATATTTTATGATAAAATATTGGTTTAATTGTAGTTCAACCGTTAGATCATTAAATACCGCCTACCGATTCAGCCTCCGATACTAGTATTTCGTGCTTGAACCGCCGGTACGGTACAGTTTCATGGACCATGGTTAGAACATAGATTATGGGTCGATGTCTCCTCCGAAGACTTCTTCGACTATATAAACGAAAAAGAAAAGCATGCCAGACTCACTGGACGACAATGAAGAACCGACGACGACGAACACGAAGAAGAAAGTGAAGATGAATTTGGAAAGACATGGTCGGATAAAGCCTTTAACTAAGTTGGAAAGCAAAAACGATGGTATTTTTGGGTCCGGATCACATCAGTAACCTTCTTGTCAGTAATTGTCAGTAACTAGCTCATCCACCGTTCATTGCATATAATTCGTAGCCGTCAGATCAGGAAAATTAAATACACAGAGGGGCAAAATCGTAATAGCGTCAACCCATTTAATGATGATACTAAGTTTTGACCAGGTGCGGACCCCACAATGAATCTCACCCCAATGCCTTCCTTTCTCTTTTTCTCCACCCTCAATCGTCCCCATGTTTTTCCTCTCTCTAACATCTGCAAACGAAAAATAAATCTATTCACACACATTTTATTGTCTGTGACTAAGAGAAGAAGGAAAAACAATTCTCTCTCATCTAAAAAAATTATCCATTTCTCCCGACTTTAACTCCAACTCTACAACATATATGTATATATATATGAATCAAACCATCTAAACTCATCTGCTCTAACTTCAACTCAAATTATCCATTTCTCCCGACCACATATTAGTTATAATTACCACATAGTACCATATGGTAAGAGAAGGTAAAACCATATAACAACAATATAAATCTAATTAGCACCCTCTACCAACATGATAAAACACGATAACCACACAGTACCATATGGTAAGAGAAGGTAAAACCATATAACAACAGTACAAATCTAATTAGCACCCTCTACCAACATGATAAAACATGGTAACCACACATTACCATATGGTATAGTGTGGTAATCTCGATATGTATCTAATTACGACTTTATTCACTTTCTTGTCCTCTTCACTGTGTATTGACTCTTCTTTCCCTGAACTGGTGTCGATGACCACCCTCTACCACCATGGTAAAACATGGTAAGCATAAATATACATTTAGTTACCACACATTACCATATGGTATAGTGTGGTAACCACAATAAACATCTAGTTACCACATAAGACCACCATGGTATAGTATGGTAACCACAATATACATCAAAGACATACTTCACATGCTCGTCTTCTACCTCCTCTCATTTTCTCGTCCACGTTTGAGAACACAAAACTTAAAATGAGGAAGATTGGAATTGAAAATCCACAAAAAATACTAAAGCATAAAACATGCAAACTCGACTCACCTAGATCTTTCTTCTCTTAGTCGATATGGAGCTTCACCAAATTTGAGGTTGACGACTTGACAAAGAGAAGAAACATAATGAAAGAAGGGGGATTCACTTTTCCCTCGTCCATTTCGCTGGGGAAAAAAAGAGAAGGAGGGAGCAGCTCGAGAGAAGAAATGCAATGAATAAGGTGGATGCACTTTTCTTTCGTCGATTGTGGAAGAAAAAAATGATGAACTGAAGAAGAGACAAGCTCTGGAGAAGAAGAATGAGAGAGAGAAAGAAAGAGAAAAAGAGGAAAGAGAGTTTCCAAAAAAAGAGAAAATGTTGCATTCTCTCTCCTCCTTTCTAACAAGCTAATAAATGCTGGGCAAAATAAAAAAAAAGAAATAATACGAAATTAAAGAAACAGACAAAAATACCCATGACCATCTCTGCCACACGATTAATCCGCCCAAATCAACGGTTTCTAGATGGTTACTCACCGTATCCTGAGCCGGTATTTTTGGGTTTATATGAAAATAGGGATGACAAAAAAGGAATAATTAAAAAACACAGAACTAATTATTTCACAAATACGAACCATTGTCCCTAATATTTGGAGAATAGCATATACTTCAATTCCACATTATATGGTAGGGGTGGGCATTGGTGCGGTCCAAACCGCTCCACCCGCTCCAAATCGCTTGTGCGGTCAGCCCAAACCGCACCATTAAGATTGTGGTTTCATTTGCGGTTTAATTATTAAGCGGTTCGTGGTTTTGCCTTACGAGCCAACTGAAACTGCGCGGTTGCGGTTCAAAACCGCAAACCACTAAATCGCTAAATGGAAAGTCGCCCACCAACACTTCAGCGAACCACATGCCACGACGCGATCTCTTCTCAGCGTTGGCCGATTTACTAGCAAGCCTTACCGGCGACGCCATCGCCGACGGTTCCTCTTGCTACTAGTTCTCGCCTCCGTCCTGACTCCCAAGCTTCTTGTCCCTCTCAACGTCGTGCACCACCTAGAGGCGAGAGCTCCTGAGATTTCTAGATCGAGCGCACCTCGACCTATCCTATCCTCAAAGTTACGGTGCTTTAGCGAACTGTCAAAAGCACTCCCCAGTCGGCGCATTCCTCAGTCTCTACTACGGCCGCCGTTGGCGGCGGAGGAAGCAGTAATATCGCTTTCGAAGATTTCCACTTCCCATCTGATCTCATATCCATTCAGGATCACAAGGACGAGACGATGCTCAGTGTGTTTCATTCTTTGTTATAGTAAGGGATTCTAAGATTGTTTAGTTGTTCTCAGATCTGGGTTCAATTTGCTACAATTCATGATCTGGGTCTGCTTATTTCTGTCATGGGAACATTAGGTTGTGCTTCAATTTCTCGAATCTTAGAAAAACATCCAGCTGATATCAATATGTTATGGAGTCGCTGGTTTTCCCCTTCCGAAGTCCAGTTCTTTAGCTTCTGAAGTGTCTGGCTCTGTGAGTTAGTTGTTGCAGGTAGCTCAAACATTAAGGTTGTTAATCAAAGTTTTCCCATTGATAGTTATATCAAGCATGTGATGTGATCCCATTTTCTCGATGGGTTGGAGAAGGGGTGTGTGCTTCTAATTAATCATCTGAAGTAGCTAGCTAGCAAGAAACTGATAGCTAAAGCTAATAGTCAATTTGTTCAAGAGTGCTAAAGTTGCTGCGATAGGGTGGAGATGGTAGTCACTTTATTTCTAAGTATGTTATTTCATCTTCTTATAGAGTTGTAATGAATCTGTGAAAAAGAAGATACTATTATCAGCAAAATGAAATCAAAAAGCTCGTAGGGAAAATGAGCTAAAGCATCGGTATCTAGTGAGGTGAGTTTCTTTACTATGGTTACATTCTTAGTGGACCTACAATGCATGTTTAAGCTGGATTTGATGTGTGTTTACTTATGAGTGATGAGATGAAACAAGCAGTAGCACAAGGAGCAATGTTTTAATGGTTTTGTGTTGATGTAGGTTAGAGAGACCGACAGAAATTCCTGTCTTGGACCTCTGTGCAGCATTCCTCGCGCAGCTCCTTGTGCTTTAGTTTGCTTTGAGAAATAAAAAATGAAAGAAGGCAGGTTTTCTTTTCTGCAGACGACCTGCCAACCAAAGGGGATGGATGTATGTGTTTGGTTGGGAGCACTAGCATTTTATTTTCTTGTTGATTAGTTCATTGCATTTGAGTTAGGGGCAGTTGCCAAGAACTAAGCACTCTGTCCTGATTTCTTTTTATAATAGACAGACTGTAGCATTTGATCCCTCCATGCTAAACTAATCCCGAAAAGAACCCTGGCTACATAAAAGAACCCTGCTACATCGGATCCTCCACTGCTTACCTACTCTGTTAATCACCTCACAAATGTGATCAATATAGCTATATTAAGTAATGACTAATTAGAACTAGCTAGCCCAAACTAATGAGATAGACTATGGTAAAAGATACATGATAATTATTGTTGTTGTTGATACTGTTTTATTATATGCTCAATTAACTTCCCAACAATAATTATACCATGTTCTCATTTACTTTATCATTGTTTAGGCTGAATATGATGATGTTGCAATGGAGTCCTTAAGTGGGGAAGATATGGAAGTCGAAGTGGATGCAAGTACAAGTAGTGTGGGTGCTGCTGATATTGGTTCAACTGCAACTCAAATTAAGTCACCGAAGGCCAAAGGCAGGAGCTTACATAAAAAGTATGGGTTCAATTCAAGAGGCATGTGACAGATGAAAGATTCAAGGCATCATGTATCAAATGCGGAAAGACTTATGAATCTAAATCGCGTAGAAATGGAACAAGTGCGCTTCTTAGACATATGGAAAAACCATGCGGTGATAGAAAAGGTACTGCTCAACAACTGTTGAATACAATTAGAGTTGGATTAGGAGAGAGTGATGAAGTAGTGTTAGGGATCTAGAAGTATGACCAAGCCGCTATAAGGAAAGGATTGGCTTATAGATTCTTGTGGATGAGTTGCCTTTTAGGTTTGTTGAATACTTGGGTTTCAAATATTTTATGTCACTTACTTGTCCTAGATTCTGCATACCTTCTAGAAGGACTGTGACTAGGGATTGTTTGGATTTTTATCTCGAGTTGAAGCAAAAGTTAAAGAATGTCTTTAGCAACTGTGAAGGTAGAGTTTGCTTGACTACAGATTCATGGACTTCCAACAAACAATTGAATTTCATGTGTGTGACAACCCATTTTATTGATAGAAACTAGATATTAAGAAAAAGGATAATTGGTTTTCACCAAATATTCAGTCATAAGGGGGTGGATATTGCAAGTGCAGTTATGTCTTGTTTAGATGAATGTGGGATAGATAAGATTTTCACAATCACGGTTGACAATGCTAGCTCGAATGACACTGCAATAGAAGAATTGAAAAGTATTTTTGATGATAGAAAGATTAGGATGTGTGGTGGCAAATTCCTTCACGTCAGGTGTGTTGCCCATATAATGAACCTTGTTGTGATGGATGGATTGTCTGAGATATCTGTAGCTTTCAAGAGAATCAGGGAGGCTGTGAGATTTATTAGGCAATCACCTGCTAGAATTCAAAAGTTCAATAATTTTGTTGCTCTTGATAATACAAGCAAAAGTGGCTTGTGTCTTGATGTTCCAACGAGGTGGAACTAGACCCTTTTGATGTTGCAATCTGTTGTGAAGTATGAGCATGCTTTTGATCTTTATCGATTATCAGATAAGCAGTTTAAAAATGATCTTGAAGCTAAGAATGGAGTACCTGATATACATGATTGGGAGAGTGCTAGAAGAATGATGAAATTCTTGGAGCAGTTTTATCACTTTACTTTAAAAGTTTCTGGTTCACAATACATAACCTCCAACTTGTTTCTTCCTGAAGTTGGGAATTTGTACAATTTGTTAAGGAGTTGGATGGTTTTAAACAATGAGGATTACTAATTAAGCTTCATGGCAACGAAGATGAAACAGATGAACAAGCTTCATTGGATAGATGTTGACAAGATGAACAAGTTTTTGTACATACCTACCGTTTTAGATCCACGGCGAAAGTTGCGCTTTATTGGTTTCTCTCTCAAGTGGATGTATGATGATGAGAAATCGGATAGTGATTTGACAAGTGATGTTGAGAGGCTACTTATGAGTTGTATTCTCATTATGAGAATCTAGTAGGTGAAGCTTCATCCTCATCTCAAAGAGAACTAGATGAAGATGGTGGGAACGTGGATCTAATTGCGGAGTATATGAAGCAATTGCAAAAAGAAAGAGGTGTAGTCAACAAAACTGAATTGGATAGGTATTTGAACGAGGAAGTTGAAAGATCAATGGATCCCAAATTTGATGTGCTAGGCGGGTGGAAATTAAACAGCCACAGGTTTCCAACTTTGTCTGGATGGCAAGGGATGTATTGGCTATCCCTATTTCTACAGTTTCGTCTGAAGCGGCTTTTAGCAGTGGAGGGAGAGTACTGAATGATTTTAGGAGTTCTTTGACTCCTAAGATTGCGGAGGCCTTTATTTGTACTCAGGATTGGCTCCGAGGAGACTCTAGTCCATGTGTAGCTAAAGAAGATTCAGAGGAGATCGAAAATATTGATGAAGGTAAGCTTTCTTACAATAAAAAAGATATTAGTTTTGTTTAATGCTCAAGTTGATGGTGACATTTTATGAAATTCAGAGTTGAGCATGGTGTTGAAGGCTATTAACATCTCTGATGTTCCACTTCCTTTTACCAATACCCCTCGTACGAGTCCTATTATACAGGCAAACGCAAACACGTGAGGTAATTGATCTAATCGTCCTCTTCATTCTTCCATGAAATTTTATGTAGTAGACGGTTTGGTGTGTCTATCTATTTTGCTTCCATGGCTGCTGTATCAGATTGATTGGGTTACTAATGGTGTGATCGATGATAAATTAATTAGATTACTAATGGAGGTGCTGGGGTTTTGGTTTTGGGTAGCAGGTGGTATGTAATAATGCCTGCTATAATAGCAAATCAATTTCGATTCTGTCAGATGCAAGGCTGGCATGGCTATGTTCAGTCTTGGTAAGTATAATTTCAAACTCAAATGTGTTTTTGGTAGATATTATTTGTTTTACTTTGATGGCTACTGCATTTTGCTTTGTGATGTCGCAACCGTCCCTCCGGGGGTCGTATGTCGTCGCGTTGGCATTTTTGGGAATCGCCATCAATCTTACTTGGAGTGGATCGAACACTCTTCGGATCGGCTCTAACCTTAGGGTTAGGACCGGGGTTTGGTCTGCGATTAAGAGATAAGGGTTCAGGAGTACGGTTACGTGTGGGGAAGTGAAATCACACCCCACAGCGCCCTAAATCGGTACTACTTAAGTTGATAAGTTTTTATACGAGTTGGGTGTATTTTAGTAATTATTTTGTAATTTTAGGGTCCCACTGGACCATTAAATAATTTTATCGTATTATTTTATTATTGGGGATTTTAGGTATTTTTAGGGCCTTACTGGACCACTAAAGAATTTAAATCGTATTAGTTGCAATTTAATTATACGCCCACTGACGTAAAATTAAAAGATGAAATTAATTGGTTAGTTGGACTCGAACCTTATCGGTTGCCTACGTACTCGTAATACTGGATCAAAGTCCACGTAGTTCGTTAGGAACTTTGATCGTTTTAATTATAACTTTTACCACGTTCCACAGAACGTAATTCTCGTATTATAATTTTGTTAATAAAATTTAAATTGATTATTGCAAGGATTTTAGTTATTATGAAGTATTTTGATGTATTAGAAAAGAAGCAATATAAACTTAATCCACATTCAACATTTCGTATTAAGGATTTTAAAACGAATAAAACTAAACGAGATGATTATATTCATGCTTGAAGGGCCAACAGCACAACGAGTTGAGGCGTCAGACACATATACCCAAAGACCCGAGTTCGAATCTTGGTGGACATTGTTTTTGGTGTTTTCGCTTTTTAATGCGGAGATGGGGGGAGGTCATTTTGATAATTTTACGGAAACGCGGTGGCAGGGGCGGTTATTTAATGAAAGGGGTATAAATTCATCTTTTTGGAAACCCTAAGCTAACTCCTAACCCTAAACGACCCCATGGCCACCGCTCTTTCCCTCT